CTAATACCTATGATTTCAACTATGCATCCACATAAACACGATGGCAAAACATATTTTTGTTAAAGTGATCACTCTCGAGCTAATACCTATGATTTCAACTATGCATCCACATAAACACGATGGCAAAACATATTTTTGTTAAAGTGATCGAGGTTATATCATAGTTAAATGAAAAGGAAGATATGCATGTCTTCAAGGTTTATGAATAAAAATTAATTAAATTTCCAAGAGGCTGAGGAACACTCTATCTATCTTTAATCGAAAACATGCTAAATTATGAATTTGATCTTTGAACTTGTGGTGTTTAATAAGTTATAAAACTAGAGTACCATACCTAATTCGCTCACATTACAATTGGTCTCACACGATACGGAGTATTTATATCCCTCGCAAAAACGAGCATACATCATCCAACCAAGAAATTTGAATTCGATCTGTCCTCAAATGTAAGAAAAAATATATATATATATCCCTCGTATTACCAGAAATTTTCAAGTTTCGACAGCCTAGGTAACTATTACTTGAACCAAAATAAAAAGGTTTCTTTTTTTTTTGACCCCATCGTTAATAGTAATTACTTCCTGGTGAAGCATTACATCAAATTAAAGTTTTCACCTGTTTCCTGCCAACTGTACATCGAGCAAAGAAAAATTACCAAACTTACTGAGACCCTTCATTTAACCACCACTTCCATTTTCACACCATTCAAATTCAAATTCCCATTCCTCCATAGCCACCCCACCACCCTTCCTCCATCCATAACCAATGGAATCTGCTCCCGAGGTCATCCATGGCGGCACTCTCCTCCATTCCACTCAATTACTCAAACCCCTTCGCTTCACTTTCTTTCAACTTCAAATCCTTTTCGTTCTCCTAACTTCCATTGAAGCCTATCTTTTCTTAGAAGGATGGAATCCCATTTTCCATATCTTCCCGCTGTCTTCTCTTGTCGTCTTCATCATAATCATCAACCACCCTTCCATCTTGAATATTGCTCCTCGTTCAGTCTATTTAGTTGACTTCTCATGCCTCAAACCGCCTAGTTTCTTCAGGGTTCCCTTCTCTACTTTCCTTGAAAATGCTACTTTGATGGATATTTTTGACAGTGAGAGCCTCTGTTTCATGGCCAAAACTCTTAAATCCTCTGGACAAAGTGAAGAAACATGCCTCCCTCCAGCCCTGCACTTCATTCCACCCAAAACCCATCAACAGGAATCCATTAATGAAGCCCATATGGTTCTGTTTCCTGTCATGGACGATCTTTTGACCAAAACCCATCTCTCTCCTCGTGACATTGATATTCTGATCGTCAATTGCAGTGGCTTTTGTCCTTCTCCTTGTCTGTCCTCCATAGTTATCAACAAATATTCCATGAGAAGTGATATTAAGAGCTTCAATCTCTCCGGAATGGGGTGCAGTGCCAGTGCTGTTGCCATTCATTTAGCTGAAAGTCTCCTTCAAGTTCACAAAAATTCGAATGCCGTTGTACTCAGTACAGAAATTTTGTCGAACGGTTGGTATGCAGGAAAGGAACGCTCAAAATTGATCCTTAATTGCCTCTTCCGAATGGGCAGCGGAGCCATTCTGCTCACCAATAGAAAAGAGGCGAAGGATTCTTCAAAATATAAACTATTTAAAACGGTTCGAACACAGAGAGCTTTCGACGATAAAAGTTACCTTTCAGCCATACGCGAAGATGACATGGACGGAAAGCTCGGCGTCACTCTCACAAGGGATTTACTCCAGGTTGCCGGAGAAACTCTCCGGTCAAACATAACCATTCTGGGTGATTCAGTCTTGCCGTTGTCGGAGAAACTACGGCACGGCGTTTCGAGGCTCGGAAAGCGATTTCTGGACAAATCGCAAGAAATCTACGTGCCCAATTTCAAGAGTGTGATTCAGCATTTCTGCTTGCCGGTATCGGGAGGTCCGGTGATACGGGAGATCGGAAAAATGCTGAAGCTTAAGGACAAGGACATGGAAGCGGCATTGATGACTCTGCATAGATTTGGGAACCAGTCGTCTTCTTCGCTGTGGTATGAACTCGCGTATTTGGAAGATCAAGAAAGAATTGGAAAAGGGGACAGAGTCTGGCAATTAGGGATGGGCACTGGGCCCAAATGTGTTAGTTTGATTTGGGAGTCTATACGGCCCATTGTTGGAGAGTCCAACAATGATCCATGGGCCGAAGTAATCCAGAATCCAATTTCAGGCCCACCAACCTAGCTCTTCGGGTTTATCTCAAGAGAGAGAGAGAGAAGAAAAAAATAACGTTTTTTGTTTTATTTAATCGTGCCCTTTGTATGATTTATTTGTCCTTTTGACCTTCTTATATAGCTTATCTGATCAAAGTATGTTTATATTGGTTGATTTTTGAAGGACCTTCGTCGACCAACTATGGAAAAAAAAAAGTACTATGAGAAATTATTGAAAGTGAATGCTACAATTTTTATTATTATTATTATTATTATTTTATAAGTACGAATGCATACAGAAGTTTTTCTAAAATTCTTGTTTGAAAAACAAGAAAATTTTGAATTACTAGTGTTTTTTTTTACAAAATTACTAGTGCTTTAAAGTTACAAAAAGGAGGTTTTCATTAAACAGCATTTTTGGAGAGAATCTGAATCCAATGAGACAAAGTTGTAGGATTGTGAGAAATTCAATAGAAAAAGTTAAAATAAAGTGAAATTTTACAGCTCAAATTGTGGTGTGTATATCATGTATGGTTCCAAATATATTCCTTTAAATTCCACGACAAATGGTCTCTTTCACTTGCAATAACCTTTTTATCATTATTGAAACCGAGGGAAAATACCAACTTGAGCCATCTTAACCAAAACATCTATCTCCGATTAAAAAGTCGTGAATTCAAAATTTCACACTCACATATTGTGCTAAAAAAAATTACTAAATTAAAGTTATTATTGACTTATATCAGGAGGTTAAAAATTTTATTATGCACCCACCAACCACTCTTCTTCCAACATAKGGTAAGTATACAATATTTGATATTTCAATTTGAGTATAGGTAATTAAGCCTCACTCTTTATCCAAAAAGAAAAATCAAGTTTCACTTTTGTAATTAAAAAAAAATGTTTTCAATCAATTAACAAATTAAAAAACTTAATTTCGATAAAGCAAAACAATGAAAAGAGAGGAAATCACGAGCCTAACTTAGATTTATTAGGCCAATTATTGACTGGCGTGAAGGAATTATGCTCACCAATTTTAACACAAACGATATCTAGAAATTAAAAAAATAGTGTGTGCTTAAATTTGCAAAGTGGACAAAAGGGAATAATTCTCTAAAGAAAAAAACGGGAATTAGAAAACGGAAAAAGAAAATTCTCGATTAATGGTGGCGGTTGGATTGAATGGATTCGATAGTGGTACATGAATCCCGTGTGAAAAAAAGGGATTCGTTTGATGATAATAAAAAATCTCCACCGTACAACCACCACGGGGCGGCGGCGCCCTCCACCCGCCGCAGTTGAGCTAAGCCAGCGCCGCCGTCAAATGCAGTAACTCTCAACCGTCACCTACTTTCATTTGCAGCATGTGTGAACTAAGGCTTATACATTACCATCTCTGATTGAGGTAAGTGAACATAGTCATTATTGCGAATATATTATTGAATTTCACTTATGGGGTTAATATATATTCTTTTTCTTTTTTCCTTAACCAGCTAAATTAGACTCTAAGTTGATGAGATATTTCGTTCTTACTGGAATGTATGAATTGTGGTCTGTTTGATAATAATAATAATTATTATTATTATTTTGTGTTTGGGAGTAATCGCTTTTGAGAGGATTCAAATTATAAATCTAGAATAATTATATAAAACCACATTTCACAATTTTTCAGAGATATAATTAATTTTAAAAAAATAATTAAACATAAAATTTAGATTGATTTTTTTTAACATTACAGTAAATTACAAGCTTGGCCCTCAAATTTCAAACTTGTGTCTAATAAATTTATAAACTTAAATGTCCAATAAGTCTTTTGAGTTTCAATATTGTATTTAAAAGGTCCATGATCTTTAAAGGTGTTTAATAAATTTTTAGACCATCAATTCTGTGTCTGATGAGTATTTGAACTATAAAAAATACCTCAAAGATTATAGACATACGAGACATAAAATTAAAAGTTAAAAAATTTATTTAACATGAAATTAAGAGTTCATAGCCTGTTACTATTAGACGCTTCGTAAAGTTGAATGACATAGTATATAAGTATTGAAAGTGCAAGTACCTATTAAATATCATTTTAAAATTTAAGAATCTATTAAATATGCCCCTCAAAATTCAGTACCAAATTTGTAATTTAACACAATAGCTAAACTAAAAGTTAGAATAGGATAATTATTTAAATTTGAACTAAATCATTACAAATTAAAATTTAGTAATTAAATCGTTATTTTAATGAAAGTAAAAAACTAGTGTGTTTTTTAACCCGAAAAGAAAAACTCCACATCACTGTGGTGGTAGTGGAAATAATTTCACACTCTAACAACCACAACCATCCAAATGTGGTGTGTAAGGGCACATAGGCTTGGGGAAAACTGTATTTAGAAAATTTCCATTATTGATCATGCCATTTTAGGAGCTTTAGAAGAAGAAGATTAGACTGAAATGATTTGCAAAAAGTAGTATGATTGAGACTGGTTTTAACGGGTAAGTTTTCATTTTTTTATTTACAAACAACGTACAGATAAATTCACAATCTTTTGGTTGAAGATATATATCTAATTCTGTTGAGTTTTGCTCGCTTTGACGCTTTAAGTTTTCTTTTAGATATTAAATACTCTTTTTATCTTTAATGGATGAATTACACTTGCTATAGTTAAAAAAATAAAAATAAAATAAAATTTACATTTGCTGGTTTTCTGATTTGGCTTAGAAATTAACTAATGTATTTGGAAATTATATCATCTGATTGGGTGGGTCCAATATCCAAATGGGGAGAAATTTTTTGACATACTTAGCATTTACTTCCTTACTCAAGTAATTAACATTTTCCATATTCTAATCAACAAAGATCACGTTCCCACCCCACCAATATTTTTTTGGTATCTTTTTAACCTTTTTGTTACATTTAACGCTAAATACTACCCCTTTTTTGTTATGACAATTCATGTATTTATTATACTACATATAAAGACATTGATATTGTCAGTATTTAATGTTTGAATTTTTCCTTTTTGAAA